AGATCGAATAAATCTATACAGGGCATATGTACAATCAGCGTTTTAGTATTAAACGCGAAAGACTAACTAAAAAAAACAACATAAATATTTACGCGCACATGAATCATCAAAATTTTGGCTCAGATACCGCAAAATAATATTAACTAAGGAATCCGGATGGCCCCGAAGCGTCTAAGAGCGCATGCGAATCAGAAACTAAACTAGTAATTATAATACAGAAATAGAATTAAACTCCCTGAGAGATCTCTTCAAGAGAATGGGAAGGAACTTCAAGGATATGAACACTCGGAACCATACCTAAATTCACGATGCCCCTCTCCTAACAGAAAGGAATATTTAGATTATATAACAAAAAACCTTAGCACCGAAAGACAAAACTCCACGGGAACAAGCCCAAGTCTAATTTGGTACACCTGGCCTCCCTCCTCACCTTGATCCAAATATGAATATCACTTGTATCACATGCAGACCCGCCAAAGCTTCTGCTTTAAGTGTGAAGCTACCCGTACGCGCCTGATAACACCCACTGGTATTCAAAGCAAGCAAGTATTCTTGATTGGCACCTTATTCATTACACAACAGCTGAAGCATTTCCTGACACACGCACTCCAGTGTTGCATATCACAAAATTCCTGGACCTCAATTACCATAAAAGCCTCTACATTGACTTGAAAAACTTCCTTTGTGATTTGGAGAACTGGCTTCCAACTCTTAAGCCTCGGAACATAACCAAATTAAAAAAACGATATTCATTATAAAAAACTTTATGATTTCCAGTCTGGTTCAATATGTGCTAGACAGTTGGAAGAACATAATCATCCTATCAAGTTATGCAAGCCCTCTTTGGATCTCATTCTCTTAGCCAACATGTCTTAACTCCTTACTACATCCATCAAACCAGCCAGCCCCGCTCATGTTCACAACAAGCTGCGAACACCATACACAATCGCAATTCATACCCTACAAAACGAAAGCCTGGCGTACACAGACTTGGGTTTTGCTATACAGCACGAAGGCATGTAAGTGAGAAAGCTCCTGGGGATATTGTTGTTATTACACATACAAACTTTATAGCAATAAAACTAATCCTACCATAACCCAGATGAAAATCAATTCCAATCACCATCTTTAATCATTATATACTGATCAAGTACTCTATGGTCCTCGCACTCTCTTGAGTCTAGATAATCTACCCCTACGGCCCAGAAAGACTTCTCAGAAACTACAGATAACCAGGAATCCGACAGCAGAGCCGTCCACTGCTCAATGAAACTCTTCCCGACCATTTGGTCCCAGTTTTATCATAAATACAATAACAGCCTTATCAATAGCAGTACCCAACCATAATTGTGTGAGAATCTCCACAGGCGAATTTACACTAATAGCCAAGGCACGTTCTGCGATTGTGTCCCTTCTCCATGCCCTCATCCTTTTGTGCGTTCAAACCAAGAAAAAAACTGATATCACACTGGACATCAAGCCTACCTACCTCCTTAACCTACATGGTTACCCTTTACTCCATAGGCCCCACTTTCCGCGTCCACACGACAGCTCACTCAGTCTCTAATAGCATTTGTTCCATTTCTACGGGTGTGTCTATCTATCACATAAGCTTTTCTCAATCCCTATACTAAATGAGAAGAAGAATAATAGCGATATACATACCTGCTTATCCCATTCTCCTAACTATGTACAAAATCCCTGGTTTAACTCCCAACTCACACCTGTACTATTATGAATCTTATCGTTAAAAAGTTTAGTAGATAACAACAAATGTATAAGAAAGAGCAACTACTATTTATACACCTTCTCATAAATCTAGTCTGCGAACAGCCACATCTTCTCTATACACCATACCCATCATGCGGAGCCCTTGAGAAAGAAATGTATTTTCAACTTTCCTAATCAGCATGTAACATTGAAGCATTTCAAAGAGGGGTCACTGGAAGATCAAATTCGTTCTCAACCCACAAAACAACATATAGCAAATAAGCTCTAGAAGCTATTGGTACGTTTCCCAAGAGATTCATGTCTGATGTATGTGTCAATATTATGGAGCAAGTGATACTGATGAAGCAGACACAAACCTAGGGATAAAGATGAGCAAGGGATACAAAATGAAATGATCAGAGAGTAAATTCCTTCACATGTGGTAGAAATACACTTTATCACTTACCATAGGCTCAATCAGAAATACACATTTCCACCCAGACTTAATCATTAACTAGGGGGAGATAAAATCAGAAATTCGTTTAATATTTGAGAGAGATGGGAAACCAAAAGCAGAAGTCTGAAATTGACCTAGGTTATTGAAACCCACAGGTCCACATGCCACCACGAAAGGAGCATGACATTTCTGAGCTCAGCAATACATTTTCAACTTTGCTACCACTCACACACAGTGCTCTGTTAGGCAGTCACTGAAGACCAGGCTTATTACAATACCACAGGATGCGACCTTTAGTCACCACTATAAAGGAAAAGGCCAAATCTGTACATAAAACCTCACCACCGAGTTATGACTATCGCAACCTCTCTCATTGAAATGACACATCCTAATCCCGCCTAAAGAAAGAATAACAACAGAACGACTCAAGTTAAAATCACATAAGATGAATGCTCTCCCCAAATACATAATTAACTGAGGAAGTTTGGCATTACAATTCTTACCTAAGCCATTTTGGGGTAAGATGGTTCACTAAATGAGAAGTCACATAATGTATTCTTCTATGTAAATACAAATTTTTTTGCTATGCATGTACTGTCCCAAAAGAAAAACCAAACAAACATAACAACCGAAATAGTTAAAGAAGGTCCAGAAGAAGAAATAAACCACAAAATATGAAGCAGGACTACATAAATACCAGCGCTGTTCTCCAAAATAACATAAGTGGGCTATATAAAAAAAACTTATGTCCAAAATATTCACACTGTACCCACATAAAATTACCATATCCATTAAACCCAATTTTACCAGATGTACAATCATTCAGTAACGCATCTAGTATAAAATGAAACTAGATGACTATACAACACAATTCCCACAACCACACACCCATCAACAATCCCATTAATCTCTCCAGAACTAAATTAGAATCAAATACAAATACACAAACTAGACACATCATAACCTCTCTAATATTAAACCAACGGCCCCCTAATTTCCCCTAGCTTAGCAGCCACCATTTATCTTTCTTTATCATCTACCAATTTGGCCATAATGTCTATCGTAACCAATCACCATTAAGTAGAACCAATATTAATTAATTGTTACTATCTTGTTGACATCACTTATTTCATTTACCCACAAAACTTCCCAAGGTTACTGATGCATCACTGCTAAGGAATAATGTCAAAGAGATTTCCTTTCCTTTTCTTTAAGCTGAACTTAAATTAGTCATTGCATGAATAGACTGCGTAAACACACTGATTGTTCAAAAAATACATCTCTATATTAATGAGTAGAGACATTATAACGGCATTCGAAAAATCAACGCTACTGACATAAAGAATTCATTAGTGTGCAGTTATACTTTTATCAATTTCCAATTTTGATTATATACTCTACAAGTGGAAAACTTACTCGCCATCAATTTAGTGGTAATCCTCTGTGTTAAACACTTTATTTTGAACACGGAATCCACCAGAGTGTTTTCCCACAGCAACTGAGCACCACCCAAACACTCAAAAACAAAACAAAAAAGTAAACATAACCTATTTACCATTCCCAAACCAGTAGATAAGCACGAGGTTCCAGTTTTTCCACATCCTTGCCAACACTCATTTCCAGTTTTTGTTTTGCTTTAATAAAAGCCATCCTAATGGCTCATGTTGCGGTATAAATCGTGACTTTTCTACCTGCATCTGCAAGGGAAATGTAGAAGCTTGTACGTTACGAAAGATTTCATATTACTAGTATATCAGACCATGCGGTCACCAAAATCTTAGAATTTAAGAATTTAGGTAAGGAAGATAAAGTATTTAACAGACAGCATAGCATAGGTCAAAAAGGCCCTTCACCAGGATGATTGTCAGCCTGGATGGGTACCATATTGAGGTAAATTTGTAATAATTAAAATTGTCTTCTCATACCAATTATGTTACCAGTGATGAGGACATAAGCTTAATATAAATAGCTTCTAAAAAAGATTTAGATACTTCACTAATGTTGGTTTAAAAAAAAATCAAGAATTCTGTGTAATTCACCCCTTTGTTTGTTTTGTTTTTTTTTTTTTTTGAGACAAAGTCTCACTTGGTTGCCCAGGCTAGAGTGAGTGCCATGGCGTCAGCCTAGCTCACAGCAACCTCAAACTCCTGCCTCAAACGATCCTCCTGCCTCAGCCTCCCAAGTAGCTGGGATTACAGGCATGTGCCACCATGCCCGCTAATTTTTTCTATATATATTAGTTGGCCAATTAATTTCCTTCTATTTATAGTAAAGACGGGGTCTCGCTCTTGCTCAGGCTGGTTTCGAACACCTGACCTTGAGCCAATCCTCCCCCCGCCTCGGCCTCCCAGAGTGCTAGGATTACAGACGTGAGCCACCTCGCCCGGCCTACCCCTTTGGTTTTGAAGTTGATGTTAGAAAAGATGATCGCGCCTCTCTTCTTACCTTAAATTAGCCTATCAGCCTGCATTTGAAGTTCTCTAGAGACTCTTCTTGGAGGTCCTAGTGGCAATCACAGGGGATTGAAATAGCTATTTCAATTATTTAACATCAGCATATATTTCTTATAAATTGACCATGTGCCAGGTCTTATGAGAAGCACTAGGAATAGAGTGCAAAGCACTGTCCTTGTCCTCATGGAGTGCAAAGCACTGTCCTTGTCCTCATGGAGCTACAGTTTAGTGGGGAAGTGAGCTAATTTATCACACAAATAGATTTGTAATTCTATACTGTGTTTGGTTCTATAAAGGAAAAATACTCAAAACATTTCTCTCCTTTCCTTTAAATTGTTCCTATAACCACTCAAAGAAACACTACTTTCTTTTCTCTTCAGGAACATCCAAACAGATGGCTTTGCCTGGGAGGGAGAGGTAGAGAACAACGCATATAGCAAGGCTACAGGGGTGGTCCCCCAGCACAAGTATCACCCCACAGCGGGCAGTTACCAACTCCACTTTGCCCTGCAGCAACTTGAACAGCAAAAACTTCAGTCCCGCCAGCTTCTGGATCAGAGTCGAGCCCGGCACCAGGTAAATCAAGATAAAGCTTTTCCATGTGCTATTATCTTCCGGCTGTTGGTGATTGATTGATTGATTGATTGGTAGATAGATAGATAGATAGATAGATAGATAGATAGATAGATAAGATGAATGAATGAGACAAGTAGGATTCATTTTCCAAAAGGTTACCAGTGCCACCATGGCTTGAATGGTTCAACCAGTGCCTACTCTGTCAGTACCCTCAGGGAAGAATTGTCCTGGAACCATAACATTGGTTTTGCTGAAAAGTGGTACTGAACCAGTGTTTTGATATGCATGGTCTTTCATTTGAATGTTTCTCTACAAAATCTCGGTTGTGGTATTTACCCTTCCTGATGTGTGATCTTAGTGCAGAAACTTCCCATAGGGTCTTATCCCAGATAACTAAAAGCTAGCATTTTAAGCATCTTTATTTCTAAATGTTCCACTTTCTTACTTTGATAGGCTTGGGATATGTAAGTAAATATTAATTCTTCATGATCTATCAGGGTTTTCAAGGAAAAAATAACTTGGAAGTTCTTCTTATAGGAACTGGTCATAAGTTAGGTTGCTGGTCTTCAGCTGTTTATTCAATAAATGTTTATTGCCTGTCTGTTGTGTGCTAGGCACTGTTTTAAACAATGGAGCTGTAAGAGTGACCATACCTACAAAAATCCTTGCTGTTCTGGAACTTACATGTAGGGAAATGTTGATTCTCTACTCTCAGTCTACAAAAAGCCAGAAACTCCTGAGTATATGTGTGAGGGAGCTATGGAAGTATATTGCACTAGTATATCAGTATGGCCCCAATTACAGAGAAAGGATAACCTCACAAAATTCACATCACAGAGAGTTAAATTTTTTTTTGATGAGTCAGGATTGTCATTAGAATCAGTTACCATGTTCTATATTAGGGTTATTGGGCTGAATTATGCTGATTCTATGAGCTTCCCTGATATTTGGCTATATGAAGAAATGCTTTACATCAGTTTGATCTAACCACTGTAATTCAAGCAAGCAAGTTCTTGGTGCACTTATTACATTACACAGCTGAGCATTCCTGCCCCCACCCAGTTTGCACTATATAAAATTCCTGCTCTTTACTAAAAGCCTCTACTTGCTTGAGAAACTTCCTTTTGTGATTTGGAGACGGGCTTATGTTACTGATGAGATTAAAACAGATTTCATTATAAAAATTTATGATGTTCCAGTCTGTTCAATATGTGTGCAGTTGGAAGAACATATCTCTTCTTATGTGAGTCCCTTATTTGATCTTCTCTTGCCACTGTCTTAACTCTTACACATCCATAGAGCCCGTCTCATGTTCACAGCTGAGAACCTGTCCATGATCATCCCTACAAAAGGAGCCTGGCTACAGACTTGGGTTTTCTGTATACAGCACGAAGGCATTAAAGTGAATGCCTCCTGGGATATTTGTTATTAAACAGTTTTAGAAATAAAACTAATCTACCTAGCCAGTGAATCAATTCCAATACAAGCCTTATCATTATATAATACTCTAATGTCTGATCTCTGAGTCTAGATTTCTACCTATGGCCAGAAGCTTCTATACCAGAAACAGGAATGGAAGCAGAGTCACTGTCAATGAATTTCCTGACCTTTGGTCCAGTTATCATAAATAATAGCTTTATTCAAAGCAGTACCCACCCTAATTGTGTGGAATTCTCAAGGTTACTTAGCCAAGGAGTTCTGCGTTGTGTCCCTTCCTGTCCCTTCCTTTTGTGTTCATCTGTTCACTGGATCAGCTACTCCTGCCTTAACCCTGGTTACCTTTCTCCATGCCCCACTTCCGCTCACAGCTCACTCAGTTCCTTTAGCTATTGTTCCATTTGGGTGTGTTACTTCAATAAGCTTTTCTCTTCCCTTACTAATGAGAAGAGATAATAGGTTCCTCTGGCTTTTCCTTTCCTAACTATGTAATCCTGTTTACTCCCACTCAACACTGTACTTTATGAATAATGTTACAAGTTATTAATGTATTAAGGCACTTATTTATATTTAATCAGTGCTCAGCCACATTTCTCTATAACCTCTGGGAGCCCCTTGAGAAAGAAGTATTTTCAACTTTCTAATAGCATGTACATTGAAGCATTCAAGAGGGATCACTGAAGATCAAATGTCGTTCTCAAAAAAAATTAGCAAATAAGCTCTGAGCTTTTGGGTACTGTTCTCCAAGAAGATTAGCTGATGGTGTAATTGAGCAAGTGAACTGTGGGAGCAAACTATGGAGAAGATGAGCAAGGGATATGACATGTCGAGGTAAGATTATGTGGTAGAAACCTTTCATCCATGGACTTCAGAATACATTGCACAGACTTATCCTTAACTAGGATATGGAAATCTCTTTATTTGAGAGAATGGGAAACCAAAGCAAGGCCTGAAATGACAAGTTATAAAGAAGGTCACATGCAAGAGAGGAGCATGGATTTCTGAGCTCAGCAAACATTTCACTTTGCTCCCTCCCACAGTGCTCTGTTGGGTCACTGGGACCCAGGCTAAAATAACCAGGTGGCCTTTAGGTCACCACTTAGGAGGTCTGTATAACCTCACACCAGTGTTGCTGCACCTCTCTCATTGAAATGACCATTAATGCCAAAGGAAAGAATAACGACGATTTAAATCCATGTGAATGCTCTCAAATTATTAATAGGTTTGTTTCATTTTCTAAGCCCATTTTGGGTAAGATGGTTCATATGAGAGTCTTTATAATGTTCTTCTATGTATATTTTTTTGCTGCTGTACTTCAAAAGAAAAAAAAAAATACAGAATAGTTAAAGAAGGTCCAGAGAAGAATAACCAAAATGTTGGAAGGACTATATAAGGCTGTTTCAAAATAAATGGGACTTTAAAAAATATATTAAAATATATGTAACATAAAATTACCATTTTAACCATTTAAGTGTACAATTCAGTGGCATCTAGTACATTTAACCTGTTGTATAACTATCACCACCATCTATCTCCAGAACTTTGTCATCATCCAAAATGGACACTCTATATTTATTAAACAACGGCTCCCTATTTCCTAGCTGTTGGCAGCCACCATTCTACTTTCTTTCTCTAAAATTTGCCTATTCTAGGTACCACACATAAGTAGAATCATATAATATTTGTACTTTTGTGACTCACTTATTTCATTTAGCATAATGTCTTCAAGGTTCTATGCACATGCTGAGGAATATGTCAGAATTTCCTTTCTTTTTAAAGCTGATTAATATTTCATTGCATGTAGACGGTACACTTTGTTCATTCATTTAATGATGGACATTTGGACTATTGTGAATAACGGCTACTATGAACATTAGTGTGCAGTTATCTGTTTTAATTTCAATTTTGATATATATCTACAAGTGGAATTACTAGGTCATTTGGTAATTCTGTGTTTAACTTTTTTTGAGGAACCACCAAAGTGTTTTCCACAGCAACTGCACCACTTTACATTCCCACCAGTAGTGCACGAGGGTTCCAGTTTTTCCACATCCTTGCCAACACTTGTTATTTTCCAGTTTTTTGTTTTGCTTTAATAATAGCCATCCTAATGGGTGTGAATTGGTATAAATGGTGACTTTTCTACCTGATCTGCAAGGGGAAATGTAGAAGCTTGTAGTTACGAAGATTTCTATTACTATGTATACAGACATGGTCACCAAAATCTAGAATTTAAGAATTTAGGTAAGGAAGATAAAGTATTTAACAAACAGCATAGCATAGGTCAAAAGGCCCTTCACCAGGATGATTGTCAGCCTGGATGGGTACCATATTGAGGTAAATTTGTAATAATTAAAATTGTCTTCTCATACCAATTATGTTACCCAGTGATGAGGACATAAGCTTAAATATAAATAGCTTCTAAAAAAGATTTAGATACTTCACTAATGTTGTGGTTTAAAAAAAATCAAGAATTCTGTGTAATTCACCCCTTTGGTTTGTTTTGTTTTTTTTTTTTTTTGAGACAAGTCTCACTTTGTTGCCCAGGCTAGAGTGAGTGCCATGGCGTCAGCCTAGCTCACAGCAACCTCAAACTCCTGGGCTCAAACGATCCTCCTGCCTCAGCCTCTCCAAGTAGCTGGGATTACAGGCATGTGCCCCATGGCCGGCTAATTTTTTCTATATATATTAGTTGGCCAATTAATTTCCTTCTATTTATAGTAAAGACGGGGTTCGCTCTTGCTCAGGCTGGTTTCGAACACTAACCTTGAGCATCCTTCACCTGAGTTTTAATGGAGTCCCAGAAGCCTGTCCAACTCACTCACACTCGCCCTTGAACACCCTCTCAAGCATTAGGTTCTGAGGGGACAGCAGCGGTGCCGGGATGAGGGGTGGCAGGGGGAAGGAGGCCATTACATTTATATGGAGGGAAGCCTGATTGAAAGACCTCGGGAAAACATCAAGACAGGAAACCATTAGCATAAACATACAGTCCTTTCTCTGAGACCACCAATGAAGGGAAGAAGGTAGGATGATAGCTACCAAAGGATCACACTTCCAATCTCTGCCATGATCACCTCTAATGGAGGATTTAGAAGTAGGTTTGAGCAGCAAACTGAATGATTAAAAAGGTGAATATAGATTCCTCCTCCCCACCTCCACTATTTAGTAGATTGAAGAGGAGGCAGTTTCATCCCTCCCAGATAAACTGTCACAGTGCTCATTATAGAACAGTTGCAGTACAATTATAATAACTGTGGATGATGTTATACAGTAGGACTTTTCTTTTTGGTACTTGGAGCCCTTTTTATTTCACAACTAATACTATACTCATGGCTATAATATTGCTAACTTTGCAACACAGAATCCTCTGCTGATAAACTGATAAGTTAATGTTTTCTATATACTATCTAAAAGAACTGTAGAGCTCTGGCAGCATTGAAATGAAATCATTGGGCAGGGGAAAGAATAGTAATAATAGTAGTAGCAGTGCTGGTAATACATTTTTAGAGCCCTTCCTATGTGTGTGTACTTTCACTGGTGTTAACTCTTTAATTCCCACAACAACCTTATGAGATACAGGTACTATTATCATATCCCCATTTTATAGGTGAGAAAAGTTTAAGAAAAATAAAATCACAGAAAAGATGTAATGAAGGCTACAGTGGAGAGGATTCTTCCCTGCTTACTCTCTCTTCATCCATTTGGTCTTTGTACATATGACCCAATTCCAGCTGTCCTGAGAAGCATTCGTATTGGGACACACAATATTCATTCCATGCAGACCCACTCTAATTGTGTCCTTGGAAATACTCCCCAAAGCCAAGGGAGAACCCTACCACATTGTCATGCCTCTCTGATCACACAGCTTCCTTATTCTGGCCAGCACTGCTTTGTACAGCTCATGGGAGTCCTGCTATCATCTGGAGGATTTGTAGCACTTACTATAGGACTACTGTCTGGGATTGAGAATTTATAGATAAAGCAAATATAGCTTCTGCCATCCTTAAATATCCATACATTCCATGAAGTGCCATTGATGTGGATGGATATTCTTTCTTGTAAATAGTAAGGTTCTCCCCAGAAAGCACTTCCTTCATGACCTCAAAGTGTTTCTTTCAAAAGCAGCATTGGCATTTTGAGCAGCACACATTTTGCTGGCACAAGACTATTCCTTGCATTTCTGTATATTTAACACCCTTGACCTCCACTATTTAACATCAGTAATCCCCCCAGCCCCCATGATTGAAAGCACACCCACATAGTTCTATCTACTGTCTAGAGGGTTGGGGCATCCCTGTACGTGGTAGCTCCTGTTTGGCTGAGATTGGGTGAAGGAAGCTGAGATTGGGTCAGTGGAAGCACACTCTGTGTACAAGTGTCCCAGTCCTCTGCCTCTACCCCTACCTTACACTCCTGTGGCATCATTCTCAGGAAATCTCAAAGCTGAAAGCATATCTTTATGGAGAGTGCAGTTTCCTGTTGAGGAGATTTTGCTTTACATTTTGTAGATTCCCTCCAAGTTCCCTAAAACCAATATCCGTTAGAGGGGACAGATATTAAAGCAAAGGGAAAAGTATCCTCTTCAATGTATATTGACTGGAGGTTGCAGGTGTACTGCAGGAAGGGAAGATATAGAGAAAAATATTTTGTCCTGCAGTGCCACCATGTAATATAGAAAGTAAGATGAGGTTATAAATGCATAGGCTAAGAAGAGAATATAGTATTTAGAAAGACTTACATTGTTGCCTGTTAGCTACAAACGTTGTAAAGGCAAAATACAGCATAGTTCACTTTGAATCAAATGATTATTCCCATAGCTAACTCTCTTTGCTCTATATACCCTATTCTAGAAATAATGTAAAACTATTAGATGATATTTACAGGGCATATGTACAATATTTTAGTATTGAGCAAAGACTAATATAAAAACACTAAATTTTAGAATGAATCTCAAAATTTTGGTGGGATAAGAAAATGTATTACTAGGAAGTCCGGATGGCCGAGCGGTCTAAGGCGCTGCGTTCAGAAAATGTATTACTAGTAAAATAGAATTAATTGAGGTTCAAGAATGGGAAGGAATTTTGGATGGACATGGAAACTATTAGATGCCTTAGAAAGGAATATTTAGATATATAAACTTAGGCACCAGAAATCAGGGAAAGCCCAAGTTATGGTACACCTGGCCTCCTCCTTGTCAGTTATGATATCACTTGTATACTGCAGACCCCAAAGGCTTCTGCTTTAAGTGTGAGATACCGTGGCCTGAATAACACCCACTGTAATTCAAAGCAAGCAAGTTTCTTGTGGCACTTATTACATTACACAGCTGAGCATTCCTGCCCCCACCCAGTGTTGCACTATAAAAATTCCTGCCTCTTTACTAAAAGCCTCTACTTGCTTGAGAAACTTCCTTTTGTGATTTGGAGACTGGGCTTATGTTACTGATGAGATTAAAAACAGATTTCATTATAAAAATTTATGATGTTCCAGTCTGTTCAATATGTGTGCAGTTGGAAGAACATATCTCTTCTTATGTGAAGTCCCTTATTTGATCTTCTCTTGCCCACTGTCTTAACTCTTACACATCCATAGAGCCCCGTCTCATGTTCACACAGCTGAGAACCTGTCCATGATCATCCCCACAAAAGGAGGCCTGGCTACAGACTTGGGTTTCTGATATACAGCACGAAGGCATTAAAGTGAATGCCTCCTGGGGATATTTGTTATTAAAACAGCTTTTAGCAAATAAAACTAATCTACCTAGCCAGTGAAATCAATTCCAATACAAGCCTTATCATTATATAAATACTCTAATGTCTGATCTCTGAGTCTAGATTTCTACCTATGGCCAGAAGCTTCTATAACCAGAAAACCTGGAATGGAAGCAGAGTCACTGTCAATGAATTTCCTGACCTTTGGTCCAGTTATCATAAATAATAGCTTTATTCAAAGCAGTACCCACCCTAATTGGTGTGGAATTCTCAAGGTTACTTAGCCAAGGCAGTTCCTGCGTTGTGTCCCTTCCTGTCCCTTCCTTTTGTGTTCATCTGTTCACTGGATCAGCCTACTCCTGCCTTAACCCTGGTTACCTTTCTCCATGCCCCACTTTCCGCTCACAGCTCACTCAGTTCCTTTAGCTATTTGTTCCATTTGGGGTGTGTTATCTTCAATAAGCTTTTCTCTTCCCTTACTAATGAGAAGAGATAATAGGTTCCTCTGGCTTTCCCTTTCCTAACTATGTAATCCTGTTTTACTCCCACTCAACACTGTACTTTATGAATAATGTTAACAGTTATTAATGTATTAAGGCACTTATTTATATTTAATCAGTGCTCAGCCACATTTCTCTATACCTCTGGGAGCCCCTTGAGAAAGAATGTATTTTCAACTTTCTAATAGCATGTACATTGAAGCATTTCAAGAGGGATCACTGAAGATCAAATGTCGTTCTCAAAAAAAATTAGCAAATAAGCTCTGAGCTTTTGGGTACTGTTCTCCAAGAAGATTAGCTGATGGTGTGTAATTGAGCAAGTGAACTGTGGGAGCCAAACTATGGGAGAAGATGAGCAAGGGATATGACATGTCAGAGGTAAGATTATGTGGTAGAAAACCTTTCATCCATGGACTTCAGAATACATTGCACAGACTTATCATTAACTAGGGATATGGAAATCTCTTTATTTGAGAGAGAATGGGAAACCAAAGCAGAGGCCTGAAATGACCAGGTTATAAAGAAGGTCACATGCAAGAGAGGAGCATGGATTTCTGAGCTCAGCAAACATTTCACTTTGCTCCCTCCCACAGTGCTCTGTTGGGTCACTGGGACCCAGGCTATAAATAACCAGGTGGCCTTTAGGTCACCACTTAGGAAGGTCTGTATAACCTCACCCAGTGTTGCTGCACCTCTCTCATTGAAATGACCATTAATGCCAAAGGAAAGAATAACACGACGATTTAAATCCATGTGAATGCTCTCAAATTATTAATAGGTTTGTTTCATTTTTCTAAGCCCATTTTGGGGTAAGATGGTTCACTATGAGAGTCTTTATAATGTTTCTTCTATGTATAATTTTCTTGCTGCTGTACTTCAAAAAGAAAAAAAAAAAATACAGAATAGTTAAAGAAGGTCCAGAGAAGAATAACCAAAAATGTTGAGAAGGACTACTAAATAAGGCTGTTCTCAAAATAAATGGGGACTTTAAAAAAACTATATTAAAATATATGTAACATAAAATTTACCATTTTAACCATTTTAAGTGTACAATTCAGTGGCATCTAGTACATTTACACTGTTGTATAACTATCACCACCATCTATCTCCAGAACTTTGTCATCATCCAAAATGGACACTCTATATTTATTAAACAACGGCTCCCTATTTCCTAGCTGTTGGCAGCCACCATTCTACTTTCTTTCTCTAAAATTTGCCTATTCTAGGTACCACAGGAGAGATCGCCATATGAAAGGTGCATTCATGAACATAATTATAAATCAATGTAATAAAATATAAGGCCTCCTTTAACATCATATTGCATAAACAGGTCTCTCTTATGGAAGAATGCTAGGTAAATTAGATTCAGTTTTACCACTGCTCTCAAACAGGTGGTTAACCAAATTGTAACACCAATGGCTACCACACTTTAGAAAAATGAATCCAGAATGCAAGGATTCATTAGAGAACTATCATCTTTATCTAAAGGATTAACCCAAGGACAGAAATACAGGACATACTGAGAATGCAAACCATGTTTTAATAAACAATTTGGTGATAATTTTAATGGTCAGATCTAGCACAACTAAGTTAAAAACAAAGCTTAAAGCAGGGGTCTTCAAACTTTTTAAACAGGGGCAGTTCACTGTCCCTCAGACCATTGGAGGGCCGGACTATACTTTAAAAAAAACTACGAACAAATTCCTATGCACACTGCACATATCTTATTTTGAAGTAAAAAAACAAACAGCAAAAACACCCTCATGTGGCCGTGGTCGTATTGAGGACGCCTGGCTTAAAGTCTAGCAGGGCTTTACTTTTATTGTGGACTGATTCTAAATTCCCTCTGAAATAAAGTGCTCTAAGTACTTAAGTATTCTGCATGTTAGAATATTAATATCTTATTTGCTATTTGTTAGTAATAAACTCTTCAAGCTAACAGAATTTATTAATAGTTTCTTTAGCTCTCCCCAACAGTCCTTTAACTTAACCCTTTTTATTTTACCCAAATCAGCTGTGCTTAGAAGAACTAGGGAAACATAAAATGATGTTATATACATACATAAAATTATGATGAATGATTTTCTGTTCCCTCCCAGGAGACATGAGATAACTCCCTTCTTGGAGTTCTGCCTCCTCCCTACGACAGATATTCTGACAGATTCTAAAAAACATATTTTCCATATACTTCATAATTCAGTGAAACTAAACCAGTATAATCCTCAGTGAAAAAAAGATCCACACAAGAATAGCAGTACAGTACTCTGAATTTTCAAAGGAATGTTAGCTGTTGGAAGATAATCAAAAGTATGAGAAGGACTTAAAAATGAAGCAGTTTCTAAAAGTAAAAATCAGCAAAACTGCCCCTCCTTCCCTCAAACTTTAATGCCCTTCAAAAATCTCCATTTTTAAAAATCATCCACCATTTAAAAATATTAAAGCATGTTTTAAAAGGTACTGTCTAGATTAAAGTCACAGATTAAACTAACATAAGGGAAATAAGGCTATATAGTGATGCCTCCACCATCCAGCATCTGATAAGGTGGCACTCTCAAGTACTCTGAATGACAGGGAGTTCAGAGTTTAAAAAGCTTTAAGAAATTTACACAGATTTAAAAAATCCAAGATACGTATTTGTATCTGCAATTGGGAAATGCAAACTGGCTTAAATGCTTCTACTGCTCCAACATTTTCTAAATGAAGAATTTCTACATGACAGAGGGCAGTGTGGTGACAAAATGAGATGCTATATTCTATGCTTTCCAGATTAAGAAGTCTCGATTTTTTTCCAGCATAAAATGGGCTAAAGAACTATTTCACAAATGCCTACACTTAAAATTCTCAATTATGATAAATTAATATAATGTACAGAATACACAACCACAGATAAGATGATCAAGTGACAAACTATGCTGAAATTTAAAAAAAGGTCATATTTTATTATGGATGGTAGTTGAAAAGATATAGAAAGACCCGATGTGGTGGCTCACGCCTGTAATCCTAGCACTCTGGAGCCACGGCGGCGGATTGCTCAAGGCCAGGAGTTTGAAACCGGCTTGAGCAAGAGCGAGACCCCATCTCTACTATAAATAAAAGAAAATTAATTGGCCAACTAAAGATATAGAAAAAATTAGCTGGCATGGTGGCGCATGCCTGTAGTCCCCGCTACCGGGAGGCTGAGGCAGGAGGATCGCTTGAGCCAGGAGTTTGAGGTTGCTGTGAGCTAGGCTGACGCCATGGCACTTACTCACCTGGGCGAGACTAGCCTGGCTCTAGCCAAAAACTAAACAAAAGTAAAAGAAAGAAAAGAAAAGATATAGAACATATAACAATCATTTTATTTAGAGGGGGAAAAAAACTTTGGGAAATGCTGCCTTAATCATTGAGTGAATTTTGCACCAACTATGCACACTGTGTACTACATTTCTACAAGAAAGAAGTGACAGGAGATCAAACTGATGTAAACATTTCTTCAGCAACAAATATCAGGGAAGCATAGAATCGGCATAATTCAGCAATAACCCTAATATAGAACATGGTAACTGATTCTAATGACAATCCTGACTCATCAAAAAAAATTTAACTCTCTGTGATGTGAATTTTGTGAGATCCTTTCTCTGTAATTGGGGCCATACTGTATACTAGTGCAATATACTCCATAGCTCCCTCACACATATACTCAGAGTTTCTGGCTTTTTGTAGACTGAGAGTAGAGAATCAAACACCTACATGTAAGTTCCAGAACAGCAAGGATTTTTAGGTATGGTCACTCTTACAGCTCCATTGTTTAAAACAGTGCCTAGCACACAACAGACAGGCAAAAACATTTATTGAATAAACAGCTGAAGACCAGCACACCTAACTTATGACCAGTTCCTATAAGAAGAACTTCCAAGTTATTTCCTTGAAAACCCTGATAGATCATGAAGAATTAATATTTACTTACATATCCAAGCCTATCAAAGTAAGAAAGTGGAACATTTAGAAATAAAGATGCTTAAAATGCTAGCTTTTAGTTATCTGGGATAAGACCCTATGGGAAGTTTCTGCACTAAGATCACACATCAGGAAGGGTAAATACCACAACCGAGATTTTAAGAAACATTCAAATGAAAGACCATGCATATCAAAACACTGGTTCAGTACCACTTTTCAGCAAACCAATGTTATGGTTCCAGGCAATCTTCCCTGAGGGTACTGACAGAGTAGGCACGGTTGAACCATTCAACCATGGTGGCACTGGTAACCTTTTGGAAAGAATCCTACTTGTCTCATTCATTCATCTTATCTATCTATCATCTATCTATCTATCTATCTATCTATCTATACATTTCACATCTACATCAATCAATCACCAACAGCCGAAGATAATAGCACATGGAAAAGCTTTATCTTGATTTACCTGGTGCGGCTCCGACTCTGATCCAGAAGCTGGCGGGACTGAAGTTTTTGCTGTTCAAGTTGCTGCAGGCAAAGTGAGTGAAACTGCCCGCTGTGGGGTGATACTTCTGGGGACCACCCCTGTAGCCTTGCATATGCGTTGTTCTCACCTCCCTCCCAGGCAAAGCCATCTGTTTGGAGTTCCTGAAGAGAAAAGAAATAGTTTTCTTTGAGTGGTTATAGGAACAATTTAAAGGAAAGGAGAGAAATGTTTTGAGTATTTTTCCTTTATAGAACCAAACACAGTATGGAATTACAAATCTCTTTGTGATAAATTAGCTCACTTCCCCACTAAACTGTAGCTCCATGAGGACAAGGACAGTGCTTTGCACTCCATGAGGACAAGGACAGTGCTTTGCACTCTATTCCTAGTGCTTTCATAAGACCTGGCACATGGTCAATTTACAAGAAATATATGCTGATGTTAAATAATTGAAATAGCTATTTCAATCCCCTGTGATTGCCACTAGGACCTCCAAGAAGAGTCTCTAGAGACTTCAAATGCAGGCTGATAGGCTAATTTAAGGTAAGAAGAGAGGCGATCATCTTTTCTAACATCAACTTCAAAACCAAAGGGGAGGCGGGCGAGGTGGCTCACATCTGTAATCCTAGCACTCTGGGAGGCCGAGGCGGGAGGATTGCTCAAGGTTAGGTGTTCGAAACCAGCCTGAGCAAGAGCGAGACCCCGTCTTTACTATAAATAGAAGGAAATTAATTGGCCAACTAATATATAAGAAAAAATTAGCGGCCATGGGGCACATGCCTGTAATCCAGCTACTTGGAGGCTGAGGCAGGAGGATCGTTTGAGCCCAGGAGTTTGAGGTTGCTGTGAGCTAGGCTGACGCCATGGCACTCACTCTAGCCTGGGCAACAAAGTGAGACTTTGTCTCAAAAAAAAAAAAAAACAAAAAAAAACCAAAGGGGTGAATTACACAGAATTCTTGATTTTTTTTTAAACCACACATTAGTGAAGTATCTAAATCTTTTTTAGAAGCTATTTATATTTAAGCTTATGTCCTCATCACTGGGTAACATAATTGGTATGAGAAGACAATTTTAATTATTACAAATTTACCTCAATATGGTACCCATCCAGGCTGACAATCATCCTGGTGAAGGGCCTTTTTGACCTATGCTATGCTGTTTGTTAAATACTTTATCTTCCTTACCTAAATTCTTAAATTCTAGATTTTGGTGACCATGTCTGTATACATAGTAATAGAAATCTCTGTAACTACAAGCTTCTACATTTCCCCTTGCAGATCAGGTAGAAAAGTCACCATTTATACCAATTCACACCCATTAGGATGGCTATTATTAAAGCAAAACAAAAAACTGGAAAATAACAAGTGTTGGCAAGGATGTGGAAAAACTGGAACCCTCGTGCACTACTGGTGGGAATGTAAAGTGGTGCAGTTGCTGTGGAAAACACTTTGGTGGTTCCTCAAAAAAAAGT